ATGAATAAGATAAGATGGAAATTTCACACCAACTGATTAAGGATCTTGCTTTTGAAATTCTTGATCTAATCCAAAGGTTCTTAATGATTGAGGGAGAAAAACTTATCTGTTTGTGAGCGTCTCTTTGTTGCTTATCCAAGAGTATGAAATGATGGCGATGATGATTATTCTGATTTTATGGTTTAAGGACGAACCCACGAACCATGAACACCTGAGGCTCCTCGCCTGAGAATTTGGAAATTTGCCTAGTGGTTCCTCACCAGTAGGATTTTAAAATTTGCGTAGTGATTCTTTGTCAGTAGGGTTTTGGAAATTGCCTAAGGGCTCCTCGCTGTTGACACCTAATTTTTAGCCGACGCGTCATTAAAAGTAGAAAATTCAAGATTATGGTTTCCGATCGCGACGGAACCCGTTTCTTGAACAAAAAGTGTCGTTTTTTAATTCTGTCTGTTGGCCTAGTTTCTGTAAACAATTTTCTATTCATTTCATGCAAAAACCCGAAAAGTCAAACGGTTGACTTTCGCGTTGACTTTTTGGTCAACCCTTTGATCAAAAGTCAACCCCTGGTCAAATTAGAGTTTTTCGTATAAAAAGATTCCTTTCAAGTTTAATTTCACTTTAGAAGTGGAAATTCCAGAAAATTCAAAGATTTGATCATAAAATCAAACTTCTAGTGAAAAGTCAACTAGGGTTTAACTTTTGGTCAAACATTTGACCAAAAAAATTGAAAAATACAAAAGTCCAAAAATCATCTTATTTTACATTCAATTTGCCTTTGGCATTTGAAATTTTACAAAAATCGATTTAGAATCAACTTTTTCCCAATTTGCGGAATTTGGTTCAAATCAGCCAAAAATGAAATTACTTCATTTCTAGTCATTTTTTAGGTTAGTTTTCTTCACGACATTTGATCTAGAGGTCATCTTATATTCAATTTTGGAACAAATTTTGTAATTCCAAGCCAAACACAAAAACCCCCAATTTTGGCCCTAATTAGTGATTTGGATTGATTCTTCATGATTTGCACAATTGAGGCACGAATGAACCTAATTTCTTATATCAAATCCAAATTCAAAATCAATTTTGGAAGATTCACATGAACTTGAGTCAATTTGATCAATTTAGTGATCCAATGATTAAGAAGTCTAAGAGTAATTGGTCCAATTAGTGCAATTCAACTTGACCCACTCTAGACTAATATTCAATTTGATGAATTGAGATTCAATTTGGCTAATTGGACTTCAATTAAATTTGTCAGTCTAGCTTGGCCATGCAATTACCCAAATTTAAGAACAATTGAGCTAAACAAGTTAAATTGGATCAATTTGTGCATGAATTTCAAATCGGTTCAATCCAATTTGATCGAATTCAATATTCATGGGATCAATTAATCATGATAGAGATCAATTTGTACAAAATTAGAACAAATGGAACCAAGGATTGAACCTGTTCAACCGGTTCAACCCGGTTTAATTCGAATTGAACCGGTCTGATCGGACTGGCCATTTTCCGGTCGAAAATCCGGCGATCGACAATCCATTCCGACCAGCCAAAGCCGGGCACATCTCTTTGAGCCCAAAAATGACAAAAATGCCCTTAATTGAAAATTACGAAAATGCCCCTAAGAGAAATTACCAAAATGCCCTTCTTTAAGGATTAAGCAAATTAATTAGGGATAAGCAAATCAATCATGGCCATTCATTTAGAATTGATCATGTCCATCCATGATGCCATGTCACCAATCCTTAGCCCTTAAAGAATATTCTTAATCATTAAGGATGCATTTTTGGACATTGGATTAATCTAAGAGCTAAGATTCAAAGTTGAGGGGAGTATATAGTTTTTTTTCCCTCCAAAATTAGGGGGGACTCTCATTTTCAGATCTGAATTCTCTCTCCTCTCTCTCTCTCTCTCTCTCTCTCTCTCTCTCTCTAAGCTCATGTATCTCTATCTCTCTCTCGGCCGCCGGCCATCTCGCCTCTTCGCCAGCCATTTTCCAGCGAACCATTGCCTCACCGTCGTCCCCCACGGTGAGACAAAACCAGTCGCAAGATCAGCCAAGCCTGCTGGTGGCCGGAGCTCCTCATTCCGGTGAGATTTCCTCCACGGCAGCATCACCGGCTTGGTCGCCGGCGATTCAATCAACCGGTTCAAGCGGCTGAACTGGCCAATCGGCATTCCCTCCGGCGATCCTGAACCTCTAGCAGCATTCCTTGGCGTCTTCATGTCGCTGTGGTGGCCGGCTTCTCGTTGAACAGCCACCGGATCGCATCTTTTGACTTGATTCTCTGTTATTAGTTCATTAGTGCGAAATCGAATCGATTCTCACTATAGTTTGTGCAATCTATTCTCATAGGTTTGTCGAACTTTCCGAGACTTCTCCGTGCTGTTTTTGATCTGAATACAGAGACCGGATCGCTCGATTGCGCGTCGGAGCATCGTTAAACAAGGTAAGTAAACTTGGATGTTGTTCTGTAAATTCGTGTACAGAGAAACCTGCATGTTTGAGATGCTGATTTCAGCTCGTTAATGTCGAAATCTTGCGAAGTGACGAACTAGAGAATCCTAAAACGCGTCTCAAGCTTCGATTCGATATATCGCATGCCTCAATCGGACTTAGTTTGCTATGTCAAAACTCTTTGGAAAGTTAGGATCAGAATCTGGAATGTGATGTTCAAGTCTGTTATGATGTATTCCTGATTGACGTTGTGCTGTTCTATGATTTTTCTGATTTTCTACGATCGTTTTTTGAAAAAAACTTTCTTCACGAAAGTCGTAAAGCACATCTTAATATATTTATCATAAAATGTTCATAAAATTCCAAGCATGTTAGCATTGTACGATCTGCAACGTCATCTATGCATAAATCTGGTGACAGACTAGTTTCTGACTGACCTTCGTGTGTTCTTCGATTTTCATAAATTCATGTGTTCGAAATATGAAAACATTTTCTTCACAAAATTTCACACTGAGATCGAGATCTTTTAATTGATACTAATTTCATCAAAATCTAAGTTCATTTGGATTTTCAAAAGGAATTTTTATAATCTAATCAGTATCTGTGTTCAGATCTGATTTTCATTCCTTTGGAATTCAAAAGATTTTTTTCCGAATTTGATAAAGTTAGAGTCCTCCTTTGCAAAAAATCAAAATTACAAAGTTGTTCATTGGGGTCTCATTATATTGACTGAAAATTTTCAGGGCCTAATAGCAATTTTTAGAGGGTCAATTTGCTTAAAATTTCATAAAAGGCCTTCTCGGGTTAAAATTTGATTTGCAGTTGAGTCCTTTGTGAAAACCGAATTTTATAAAAATGTGTAGGACTTTTTAGCAAAAACTCAAAACATAAAAGTTATCACAAACGGATAATTCTAACAGTATAAAAATTTTCAAACGGTTTTGATAAGGTTTGTTATTTTTCCCGCTATTATTTTTAAATCCTTAACAGAACCGGGTCCAGTCTGTCACCGAGGGTGAATTTGTCATTTTCGTGAAAATTGGTGATGATTTAGAAAAAATGGTCTGCTTAACTTTTGATCCTCATGTCATAAGGTTTCCAATGACACCTGAATCACTTCATTTGGACATCATTAGGTTAGTTAATCACATCTGAACAGAAGCAATCCGAATTAGATAATAACTGAATAAGTGGTCTCCTTATGAAGCCAACTTCTCATTGTTTTATTGGCTTCGAAAAAAGGCCCGTGGGCCTGCATGCATGCTTTATTTCATTGCTATGCATGTGTTTGTTTGATGAATGTTAGGCCCGGTGCATGTTCGGCGGGTAGCCCATTATGGTCATTTAGAACCCGACTTTAGGGGTTAATTGATATGAGTTGCCGTTTTTCTGAATGCAAATGGTAGCCCATTATCGTTAACCATTAATCAAATAATATTAGATGATTAGGTGGGTGGTGAATCGAAATGCATGAAAAACAAAGGCCGATCCCGAGGCCTGTGCTTGATTAGTGAATTGTTTGCATCATTGTTTTTCTTTGGTTATTCTTTTGGATATTGTTTGTCATGAATGTATGTTGTGAATATAAACGCCGACACCCGAGAGACGGTCCGTGGGAGGATAATCGAAAGTTGTAAAAGACCAAGACGATTGACCGATGTCCAATCCGGTCTCAATTTGTATTCATTTGATGATGGCGATAGACCGATGTCCGATCCGGTTTCAATTCGTATTCAATTCATTCATCCCCGATCATGTCTCGGGTTTTCAATTTGTGTTGTAATAAACACCCGACGAGTTGCGGGTTTTTTACTTTCTCGCACTTAGAATTAGCTCGTCTTTTCAATACTTTGAGTGTTTACTTTACGTAATGCCTTTCAATACAATCGTTTCTTTCTTTCTTTTCTAGACTAAGATAGGATGAGTTTACAATCTTAAATGAAAACACAAAAAACAAGATGCATGATCACATTTTGGACTAAAACTTTGACATGAAAATGGTAAAGAACAAATGCATGACAACTTAGATAACAACCATGTTAAGTTTAGCGGTACCGAAAGGGCGTTAATAGAAATATTAACGTAAGCTAGTCCCCGAACCTTTGATCTTTGATTTTCGTAGAAACCAATACGAAATTCCCACGTATTGGTTAGGTATTCTAACCGACCTCCGACTTAGGCTAGTGGCGGCTCCTAAAAAAGATAAAATTGATCCGCTGTCATGCGAGGTATGAATTAGGGAAGATTCACGTTCATGAATAATGGACTGTACGGATGAACCATCTTTTATGATGTACCGTATGAACCGTTTCATGAACACTTACCTCTAAACCCACCTTCACCGAGTTCGGCCCTCGAGAGGTAGGTCGCGACAGGCTTGGCGACTCCGCTGGGGACTAGGTTACAAACTTAAGTGGATTAAAGCCGTAATAAATTTGTTGGTTGTTATCTCACTTGTCTACATTTTGTAGCATCGACTGCATGTCGAAGTCGCGTGAAAAATGAGGTTAGTCCACTAATCATGTGTTAAATGGTTTTGTAGGTGGGAGACATAAGGGGTGGAGTGAATGCAAACCCTTTGTTTTGTAGGTGGCGTTCGGATGAATGTCGAATGTATGAGATTATGTTGAAGTGTTGTTTGCTTTAGATTTAAATGCATGTTTACTTGCTTTAGCACGACACAATGCACCCACGTCCCGCGGTCTAAAACCCCGGATCGCTTTAGGGCACCTTTAGGAGGTATTAAGAGTGGAATCCGCATGTGAATGCATGTGGTAATCCATTCTTCAATACCGCTCATCTTGATTAGTAAGAAGTGCACCGACCGACGTTAGTAGCGGTGGGTAAACTCTTTTTATCTAATTAAGGTGGGGACCTTAAACCTTTAGAATCCTACCCTTAGATGTCAAAACTCACATGTCCTCATGCAATGTGTCGATGTGTTTGCCATTTTTTCTTCGCGGTAAGGTTGATTGTATCGTTCTGCAATTTCAATTACACCGTTTCAATTCCACGTTATATTCCTTTCCATAATGCGTGGTGACTAATCTCGATGCCCCAAATTAGGGTTAGTCAAAATGGATATGTCGGAGATTCGAATCATCCCCGTACCTAAAGCTCTCATGGTCATGTGGGAAAGTCTCGAGCCAAAGCACAAGGATTACGTGGAAAAGAGGATCGGATATCTTCCCGCTCTTTTATACATCGAGCCTCGTGTTGCTATGATCAAAGCATTGTCCCATTTTTGGAACTCAAAGACATCCACTTTTGTGGTTGGTCGAAATGAATTGACCCCTACAATTGAGGAGTACGATATTGCCATTGGAAGAGTCGGGTTTTTTGGTCTAGTTAGTCCTCCGATAGATATAGATCCTATAACTCTTTTGAGCCAATTCTTAGAAGTTGACATTCTCCAAATCAAATGCGTTCTTAGAGGAAATTCTAATGCACTCCCTTTCACATTCTTAGAGCGACATTTTTCTAGCTTGCCAAAAGAAGCGAGTAATCAAATTCCTCGAGTCTTTCTCTTAGCATTCTTTGGTTTTGTGATTTTTCCATTCACCAAAAAGACTATGGATCCTTTGGTAGTTCACATTGTCAATCAAGTGTGTATATTCAAAAGATTCTCCAATATGATCCTAGGTGAGACCTTCGTATCACTCAATAAGTTCAAACAAAACAGAAATGGTATCTTTAGAGCCTCAATAGGTTTACTCCAAATTTGGTTGGTCTCTCACCTCAAAGACTTCGGTTTGAGCTTGAAAATCATAGATGTGTCCAAGGATTGTCATCCTATCTCGCTCTTCCGAGAAAAGGAAGAAATCTTTCCTTATTGGTCATTCTCAACTTGGTTTAATTTTTTCAAGAACCTTGTTCCAAATCAAATCCAATGGCATGTTCGTTGGCTTGGAAATCCCGAGGTACGCCTTAATAACGGATCTGACAACCCAATCCCACTTTTGGGTGTAACGGGGTCTACGTCATATTACCCTTTTAGGGTGATCCGTCAATATCGCGCACTTCAAAAGATTCCGCCATTCCTCAAGCTGGGGTTATATCATTTTGACTATCGCAAACATGTCATCCAAAAGGACCAAATGGCGGATTTGAAAGAAATGGTCAAGTCTATCATTGATATGTGGTACAAATGCCACCCGGAGCCGATTCTCATTACCGATGAGTCAGAATTGGAAGGAGAAATGAAGATACATCATGCATTGCCGGAGTACATACACCGTCATCTCGAGCCCGAGCTTAAAGTGGATCTCCCTAATGTCCCCGAGAAGCCAACTCAAGAACAAGCTATAGCCGCAAGAGCTCTTAGGGAAAAGGATGAGGCTTTAGCCGAGGTTGAACGTTTGACCCAAGAAAACAAACGAATTCGCCTCGCACCTAAAGAAGATCCATTAGGAGTTTAGCTATATTCCATGAGGAAATCTCCTTTCATGTAATTTTCATTTTATAGATTTGATGTATAAGGTTTCCTCTTTACTCATGTTAGTAATGATGTAATGGGATTCTCCTTTTGTTTCTAGATTGATGTATAGGGATTATATTTCACGAATTTCGTTGTAATTAGTGAAATTTCCCTTTTATGTGCTTTCCCGAGATTCCAATGGAATATAGATGGGGCATCTTGATCAATCATCGCGTGTTACCCCTTTAATTGTATAATTTCTTGTGAAGAAATTGTGATAAGAGATTATTCACATGATATTGGGATCATGAGAATATTTCTTATCTCTATTTCATCCAAAGAAAATATAAAATTGAAGGGTTTTATATTTTCGTCTCAATTCATTTTCCGCATACTAACCTGATTTCTGTTTTTTTTACACAAGGTACTAAAATACGGCTGAGACGCATTCAATTATACGCACCCATCGCCAAGCAAGGATGGAAAACGAGGACACTTGTACCCGCGTTATTACCATTGAGAATCAGATGGCGCAAATGATGGCGCTCTTAACTGATCTTGCAAATCAAGTAAAGAACTTCACGCCTGTGGCTCCTATTACTGTAGCTTCTACTCTTAATGCGCCTGCTAACACACCGACGATAGATCCTGCCGACAAAGGACCTGCTGAAGAGGTCCCCGTTAATGCTATTCCCGCCGTCATTGATTTGGAAGCTCCACCTAAGGAGTCGCCTGTTGTTCATATGGATGAAGAGAGTGCGAGACGTCTCGCAAAATTGGAAGAACGCCTGTGCATGTTGCAAGGTTACCAACTCCAAGGCTTTGATAAGCTGTCACCTTTTACAAAGGTGAAAGTCCCTGATTTTTACAAGGAGCCCGAATTTTCAAGGAGGTACGATAGAACTGGGTGTCCTAAGACCCATTTGAAATATTATTTGAGTAAGATGGCTCGTTACTCCGATAATACTCCGTTGTTGATCAACAATTTTCAAGATAGCTTGGCTGATTTCGCCTTAACATGGTTCATCGAGTTGGATTTGGAGAAAATTTGCACCTGGGAAGACCTCGCAGATGAATTCCTCCAACAATATAAGTTTAATACTGAAATTGCTCCAACCCGTGAAGAGCTGGTCCAGGTTGATAAAAGGAGAAATGAAACTTTTAGAGCGTATGCCCAAAGGTGGAGAACTACGGCGTCCCAAGTTAAACCTCCGCTGTCCGAGAAAGAAATCATGCAACTGTTTCTTCGAGCTCTACCTCGAGAATACTTCGATAAGATGTTTAATAACACTTGCATCAATTTTCCCGCAATGGTTGAAATGGGAGAACCTATCGAAGGAATCATGCGAGAGGGTCGATTATCCGAGATGACGACTCGCAGATTTACCTCAAAGAAGGATAAGGAGCCAATGGTGGAGGTTGCCTATATTCAAAATCCTAATACTCAAAAGCCATTAAACTCACCAGTTCAAAGGTCCGTTATGGAAGCAGGGGGCTCTTCCCGAAATTTTGACCGAAAAGGAAAAGCACCACAAAGACAATTTTCTCTGTTGCAAAGACCTATGTCTCAGTTGCTGCCGATGTTGATTGAACAAAGACTCGTAGCAAAAGAAATCCCGAGAAACAACCTACCAAAGTTTGTTGGGTTTGATTTATCAAAATCTTGCGTGTACCACATGGGTGAGAAGGGCCATGATGTGGACAACTGTTATACTCTCAAGGTCAAGATTCAGAACCTGCTAGATAAGAAGATCTTGTCATTTAAAGATGCTACACCAAATGTTCAAAAAAATCCACTCCCCAACCATACCGAAGCCGTTAATGTGATATTTGGAGACGAGAATGAGAAACCTTTCTTGATCGACGTGGCAAAGCTAGAGGAGCTATCGACCATAGCTGGATGTCAACCAAAAGGAGGAGACATCTCCCGAGAGGAGAAAATGCATTGCCTAGCCAAGATGGTTGCTTTAGGCACAATCCAGCCATTTCAAGGAAAGAAACCCGAAAGGTCCATCGAGACCGCTGTAATCGATTTGTCATCCGAAAATTTCTCTTGCAAATTCGCAGACGAAGTCTCATGCTTTAAGCCGAACGAGGATGGATACGAGCCAGACGTTGACGAACTTTGGAGTGACACGTATTCCGATACCGATTTGGAATATGAGAGCAAGAATGCTTGTCAAGATCGTGAATTTATGAAGAAGGCCCATGAGAAAGACTTGAAAGACATTGTTCCGACTGGATGGAACGATGAAGATGATAGAGAAGTTCCTTCCGATGCTGATTCGGAATTTGAATGCCATACTTCCTACTGGGACCGAGAGTTTGTTAGGAAGGCAATCGAAAAGGGCGAAATTGTCGACACCCTCGGACAGCCGAATGGTAAATATGATTTCATGGTAAAATACACTCCTCCGAGTGCTTTTATTGACCCCAAGACTATCGTCCCAAGTGGATGAGGGCCCGAATTTGAAGACGATGGCATTGTAGCCATGATCAATCCTGCTGCGTAAGGGATGTTTCTGTGTTCTACTTTTCTTCCAGTTGTAATCCACCTAATTCTCCCCTGCGAGGGACTTCCATTTGTTCATTTCATATGTTGTAATAATTCGGATCACAAACTTTGGATCCAAAACGTTATATGCTGTATGACATTTAATGCATATCACTAAAAGCATTCTCATGTTTTGTTAATAGACGTGCGAAAGTATACCAAACCAGCCCTATGATGATGCTTTGAGGCTTGGGCTTTTGCACGATCTATAGTTTTCAAAATGATTTGTTGGAACAAGGATGTCCAATGATATGAGGATGAGTTCCCCATGAAATTTTTGAAAACCTGGTTTTCGAAAGTTTTTTTTCATCACATCTACATGCATTACATTTATTATCTTCATATGCTAATCATTCTTGGTTGCATCTCAAGCATAACACTTTGCATAATCATGATATAGTCATATGTTTGGCTCGCATTCATGTCCAAAAGACTCTTGCGAACCCGATTATTCTGATCCCAAAAATGAAAAAGATTACAGCGTTATTAAAAGAGAATGGATCCGACATAAAGAGTCCAAACCTCCCACTGAAGAACAAATTATCACTGTAAATTTGGGTGATTCTGAGAATCCCAAAGAAACAAAAATTGGGGCAAGTCTCTCTCAAACAGATACCGATCGACTGATCGAACTCTTGAAAGAGTACCGAGATGTCTTTGCTTGATTCGCCACTTGAATTCTTCTCCTTACCGCCCACAAATGAA